GGGTCTGTTTTAAAATTAAACGCCGAGTTGGTTGAATACTAATTCACCAGTTGCATATATCCAAAAGGGTTCTCAGGCAAAATTAACATGGATAAATGTAAACTGTTAGCACTCCCATGATTGGTCGAAATATGGATAATAGAAAAGTTCCATTACTCAAAAGTTACTGGGAGGAGAAATTCCCTATATAAGTGCAATATGCGCATGATTGTACTTTGACCAACACATTCGACCAAATATTACATTCTCAATAACGTGTTAGCTAAAAATAGCGCATATTAACACATCGTATATCGCCATTGAAATGGTATCAAGAATGTGCTTTGATATCTATATGAAACCATTGGAGTAATCACTATTCATCCCTTATAAATTGAATTAAATGATTGATGATAACAATATTCCTAAAGGAATTGAAAATATCAAAAGTGTTACTCTAACACAAAGTAGCGTGATTTGAGTTTTACCGATGATGGGTATCCCTTTACCTCATTGATATTTTCTTAATGAGTATATATTTATCATGAAATAAACCATGATATTATGTTTAAAATACCTTGATAAAAGCATATATCAAGTAAATGTTGGATTTTTATTGCTATGTTTCAGTCAGGAGGAGTCCTTACATACTTATTCATCATCAAGTATATTGGTGCGTTGTACTCTTTTTTTCCTTTTGACCAAGGTTTATTTTTCCCAATGAGTTTTGTTACTTGGAAAGGTTTTTTGAGGCAACACAATATGCACCATCCCACACTTTAATTTTGCAAATGTAAAATTATGTTGAAGGAATTGAAGAACATAATTAATATATCGCAGTCAAAAGTAATTGATGTGTGCTTATTAGTACATCATAGTTTTCCTTTGACCAATGTTTATTTTTCCCATTGAGTTTTGTTCATTGGCAACAATTAAAGTTAATAATTCTTACATTTATCACCTTACACTCGGCACACAGGGGGAGAATTAAAGGAATTATATTCCTCTATTTGTGTGCCTTCATTAAGGTAAGTTATGTGACAAGTACTGGAATGCATGAACTTTTCAAACATCCTTGATTAATGTAACTATTAAGGATATGTGTAGACTTGAGGGGGAGTTCCCCATCTACATTACGTTACACTCTTTTCCCTTTACGAAGTTTTATTTTTCCCATCGGGTTTTGTTACTTGGTAAGGTTTTTAATGAGGTAACAATACATATACGCTTTATTGATCAAAGCAAGGATCAAATAAAGGCAGACTTAATGGAAGAAGTCTACCACAATGCTCTACTCTTTTTCTCCAGTCAAGGTTATTTTTTCCCACAGGGTTTTGTGTTACTTGACATGCTTTTGACGAGGCAACAAGACTGATACCAAATTCTATCTACAACTCAGCATAAGGGGGAGTGTTGAAGGAAATTCTGTGTAGTGTGCTATCGTGTATATAGTATATGTATTAGGATCATTCTATGTAAACTATGTATTATGGGCTCATTGGCCCGTCTCTGTAAACCCTACTATATCCCTATTTATAGGGGCATTCGATAATGAAACTCTACGCAATTCTCACTACAACAAATGAATACCTTCTTAATTATTTTGCTGGTGTATAATGCAAGGGCTTAATAACATAGAAATGAAGGTTGCCAATGAATTTAGAAGCCAATTTGATTAGAAGCTGGAACTAGTTTATTATTAAAGCTGGTGGAATAGGGAGTGAAGGCGTGAAGCTTCCAAGACTATTTTGATACCCACTTGTGTATTACTCCCTACGTCCCTAAATAAACTTCCATTTCGCTTTTCGAGAGTCAACTTAAATCACACTTAAACTCTTATTTTATATATAAAAAACTTATGAAAATTGAATAATTTTTTGCAGGCTTTGTAGCGGGTTTAATGTAGTTTATGAATATGTAAATTTTATTTACTAAAAATAATCCGAGTTTTCACATGGATTATTTAACTTTATCGCTGGTCAAACTTCGTAACCCGTAATTGGAAGTTTTATTAGGGACGGGGTAGTATTATTTTTGTTACAAGTGTTTACTCCGTGTGATAGTTTTAGTTATGTCTTTGTTAGATATGTCTTCTTACTGTACAAAACTCAAATTAGGGGAGTGGCAAATGTACACACTGTTGTAGTGTTGGTTTAGTCTACATAGTTGCTATTGTAAATATACTTGCAAATTACTATATGATTTCCGGTTCAAGCATCTCATAACCCTTCTACACACTATATACATATGTGTGTGTGAATGATGGTACTGAAAAATATATAGGTGACAGTACTTCCTCTCATTTAAAAAATATAATCACAAAGTTTTCTTATTGTGGCTAGTTGTATTAATGACGGTATCTTTTGTCATTAAAAGAACCTTTTAATGAGGGTGAATAGCTCTCATTGCATACTCATTAATAATGGGATCATATACCCGTCATTATTTACTTTTAACCGCGAAAGCTGTAGTGACGGGGTGAGAGGATATTTCTCATCATTAAAATGTTTTTGTGACAGGTATTTACCATTTAACTACGGTATCTCCTGTCACAAATGAACACTATTCTTGTAGTGGTGTTATTTGATTCTATTGAAAAGACAAAACTTACTTAATTAGGAGTGCATGAGTCATATTTTAGGAAAAAATAATGATGTTCTTATTTATACACTATCTAATTTGTGCAAATAGATACGACTAATGAAACTAATTTGTAGGTCGAAGAATTCAATAAATAGTAGCCCAAAAACCTACCAACATTATAATTTTAGGGGGTTAAAACTAAGATGATAATTAAGGACGGCAATAAGGAATCAAACTGAAGCAAGGACATTGGAAAAGGTAGATCTATAATCAATAGAAATGTAAAATGTATGAATAGAGGGAAAAAAATTTACAAGAACAGTCAACAAAAACATTGAAAAGCCCTATGAACATTTGGACTTTGGGAGCAAAAAGGAGGATGGCTCCAGGTTTGGCGGGTGTAATGAAGGACTAATATAAATGAACGATTGATAGTTGGTTTTTAAAGATACTAAAAGCCTTTAATGTAGTGGATTAAGAAACTAATAGCACCTCTTGCAAAAAAAAAAAAACAACTAATAGCACCTAGAAAGTCACTATTATTATAAAAGTACAAAAATGTGACCAAGAAAGTCATATATTTGAAAAAGCATAGTGTCTGCTAGAATTTTATGTCACTGATTATATGTCATTTTTAAATGTCATTGCCGGTTTTCATGTCACTTCCGACGTCAAACGTGTCATTGTGCCGTTAGCCATGTCATTGCGCCGCCACCGACTACTTTTTCCGATAAGAGTGACATCTAGTGGCACCGTTCCACCCGTTGCAGTGTCATCTCTCGCCAAAATCCCATCCGCTACCATCCACCCCCGGCCCTCCCCATTGCCGCAACACCCAAACCCTGCCCCGCCTCACCCCTGGCTTTCCCCCAACAACCCTCCCCAGCTCCTACTCAGCTCGGACGCACTCCCCGCCCCACCCTCTTCCCCTACCGTCACACCCTTCCATACTCCCTCCGTCAGTCACCTCCAACCACTTTCCCAGCCCCAGCCCAAATCAAGCTCAGATCTGTCCCCCACCCCTGCCCAATAGATCTATGACAACCACCGCTCCAACTCCAGCCGCCAACGGCGTCCAGTGACCACCTCTTCTCCCACCACTGCCCCATCAGCCAATACCATACCCCACAACGTCTCCGCCAGCCCTACCGCGACCTTGCTAACTCCAGCCGCCACCGTCACTCCGGATCTAGATCTGAAAATCCCTCTTCGCCCCTTGCACCCCACAATCGGAAAGAAATTGAAAAAGGAAAAGAAGATTGTCAACGGAAGGAGAAGATTGGTGACAGGGGATGCGAGCGAGACGGGCGACGATGATGCCAAGCTCGGTCGATGGAGACAAGCGACGGGCGATGGAGATGACCAACACAGTTACACAGCGGAGGAAGCGGCAAAGATGCTTTGTGCGCGGAGGTGATGGCTGCTCTATGCGCGGAGGAGATGGCTGCTCTGTGCGCGAAGGAGAGATGGATGCTTTGGCGTGAAAGATACTTTGCGTATATGCTCGGTGTGAGAAGTTTGCGTCGATTCAAGCCGGGTCACTTTTTTGTAAAATAAAATTTCAGTCATATTTTTGTCAAATTAAAGATAAGAAGTAATATTTATGTCATTATTTTCTTAAAATTCAAGAACAAAATTAGAAGAGTATTGTAAACTTTTTGATAAAGTGAGCCTTAAAACATATACATGTGTGAAGTACTATCTATTAAGAGTGCTAAGCTAACGAAGGGTAAGACAAGGATGCTTAATAGAAAGTTAGAAAAGTGCAACAAAAGAAACACTATGTAGTGTGTACGATTAAGTTTATACAAAGAGAGATACCAATATTTTTACAAAGAGAGATACCAATATTTTTCTTATGATTGTTATGGCCTTAACAACATTCTCTCTTATAATATTGTAGAGATAATGAACTAATATGACTTGGAATCAAGAGCATTTGTAGTAGGCCATGGCTCTTCCAAAGCTATCCCAACTGCATCTAAACAACGTATTCAATACGTAAAAGATATTACAAACATTCATTTGAGTAAATACTTTTATGAAACATCCCCGATAATCAATATCAACAATGTTGACAAAATAACGTAGCGGTAAGCTATTTCCAAAAAGGGAGATTTAAGCTATTTCACGTTGGAGTCCTGATCCTGTCAAGCCGGCCTGACGGAAACCGTCGTCCAGCCGAGGCCATCACAGGCTCTTCCCGGTGGAATTTTTTGATCAAACTTGTTGAGCATGTTACTCGTCAAGTCTAGTTTATCCATACCAAATTGCAGCTAAAAATTCAATCAGGAAGACAGTCAGAAAAATTCCCTACAAAAAATGCGCTGTTTATATATATAATACACCGTTTTCGTGGGGGATTTTTATTACTGCTTTCCCGACTGAATTTTTATATAAAAATTTGGTATAAATAAACTAGACTTTATAAAGGACATGTTCAAAAAATTTCAATCAAAAAATTCCCGTTGTACTAAAAGTCACCCAGTTACCCAAATGACCTCAATACGATCTGCCCTCTTTCACGTTGTACTAAAAGTCACCCGCCACTGTGTATAAATTCCCAATATATACTACTCCGTTTACCGGTGGGCGTAGCTCAACTGGTAGCAAGGGAGTGCCACAAGGGTTAGGTCTCGGGTTTCTGCAAGTACCGGAGACGGAGCCCCACTCTCTATCTGTCAGGTTGTGATTATAGTCCAACTTACATCCTCCCATCGTGCTGTTCGGTCGATATTGGGGGCCCTCAGAAATGGGGTATCATCCTTTTTTTTTCAATATATACTACTCCGCAATAAGTCACCCGCCACTGTGAACAATCAATTTGATTGTAAAATCTTTGTTGGACCTCATGGATTACACAGCCATTACCCCATTTCTACTCTACCTTCCTCTCCTCTTCCCTCTGTATCTCATCTCTAAACACTTCCACCGGAAATTCAAGAACTACCCGCCGGCCCCGTTCCTCGTCCTCCCCGTCATCGGCCATCTCTACCTTCTAAAGAAGCCTCTCCACAAAACCTTAACCAACATTTCCAAGCGCTACGGACCGGTCGTCCTACTCGACTTCGGCTCCCGGAAAGTCCTCTCTGTCTCCTCTCCTTCCGCGGTGGAGGAATGTCTGTCCAGAAACGACGTAGTTTTCGCGAATCGCCCCCGCCTCATGGTCGGGAAGTATGTAGGGCTCAACTACACAGCCCTAGTCTGGACATCCTACGGCGACCACTGGCGGAATATCCACAAAATCCTCGGCGCCGAGGTCTTGTCGAATACCCGCCTCCATTCGTCCCCCGAAATTCGATCAGATGAGGTGAAATCCATGATTAGAAAGCTAGACTCGTATTCAAAAGCGGATTCTCCTGCTGACATGAAGGCCGTGTTTTGCAATCTCATGTCGAACATTATGATGAGGATAGTCACCGGAAAAGGTTATACCGGCGACGATAAGGAAGTGGCTGGTCGATTCAGGGAGATCGTAAGGGAGGTTTTCCTGCTAAGTGAGGCCACAAATGTCGGAGACTATGTGCCATCTTTGAGTTGGCTATCCGTGAAATTGGAGAAGAGCTTGCAACAGGTGCAGCTCCGAAAAGATTCATTCACAGAGGATCTGATTACAGAGTGCCGGGAAAGGATGGTTAACGGCGGCGGCAGCGGGGAGAAGAAATCGTTGGTTGAAGTGCTCTTGACACGGCAGGCAGAGGACCCCGAGTGTTACACGGATGAAATGATCAGAGGTCTCGTGGAGGTGCGTTACTTTTAACTCTACTGGACCCGATCGGAACAAAATTGTTTTTGGAAAAAAATTTGCCCAAATATTTTGTTTCTTAAATTTGGGAGAGAGGGGAGCCTAGTTTGGCCTCTTAGCTGTGCCCCTACTTACACTTACCATGTTTGGATCTATTTTTTAAAATTGCTTTCTTTTTTTTTTTCAGGAAACAAAAAATAGGTATTGAAGTATTTACTTGAAAGTGTAGAATACTTTTAAATGCTCCAAATTTAAAATTAGAATTCCAAAAACAGTTTTATTTTAAAATCAGAGGGGAAAATTATCAATTTGGTCCTCGTACTTTCATTAAAAAGTCAATTAGATCAATCAAGTCCCCGAATTTTGTAAAAACATTCAATTAAGTCCATTTGCAGGTTAATTACCATCAACAAATGCCTGATTGGGCTTCCACGTGTGTGTCACGTTAGCAAAATTATTGTTGATTCGACTGCCACATATGCCCCACGTCAACGGACGACCTGCTAACATAACAAGTAACCTGCAAATGGGCTCAATTGAACGTTTTGACAAAGTTCGGGGACTTGATTGATCTTTTTAAAAGTACGAGGACCTAATTGATTTTTTCATGAAAGTATGAGGACCAAATTGATAATTTTCTCAAAATAGGAGGAATCAACTTTTGAAAAATTAATTCTCATTTTACCTTTGCTTTTAAAAAGAAAGACAAACAGAATGGATTCCAAATATCATTTATACTTTCTCACATAACTCATAGCATTATAAGGCCCTTTGTCTCAAAGTAAAAGATTCTCAATTTAAAAGCTACTCTTAATGTTACAAGACCCGATCAAGACCGTGCGGGTCGATCCGGAAACTGGCGACCCGACTATCATCCCGGTCACTTATTAACCCGCGCGCTGTTCTAACAAAACCGGATTTAACCGGCGGCCAATTGTCACCTGGACCCGGCCCGGAACTGATATAACTTGGCGGTTGGCACCCCACGTCTTCCAAAAAGATTCTCGATGGAAATATGGATTGAGCTCCTTCAAGAGATTAATGCTATTGAAATTTTAAGACAACCTTCAAAAAAAGAAATGTTTCTTTACTATCCATTCTCACACACGGATAGTGGTAAACTTGAAAGTAAAGTTTTTATATGTGCTCAAGTTTATTGAATGTGACTATGATTATCAATTGACGGGTCAAATAACATTGCTTTAATTACTTTTTACTAATTTGTAATGTCTCAATATACATATTATCACAACCAAAAACAAAAACCATGAACACAAATATGCATATAGACATATAGTATCATACTTTTTAGGATAGTACTACATTGTCTAGGTATACTTTGTAGTGCCAGTATTTATTAGTGTAATTAAACTATTAAAGCCTCGTGACTCTTAAGGTCATCCCCGGTTATTCTTTAGCATTTTATTTCCATTATTTTTAGCATTCCTCATTGCAATTTTTAGCATGAAGTATGCCATATTTCAAAATTTTTTAAGTTTACTAATAATGATTGCTTTTTAAGTTTAATCTTTACTCTATCAGTGAATTTTATTCTACATAATATATACTTTTTTCATGATTCACTAGAATGATATATTTCAGTTGACTTTAGTAATTTTCACAAATTTGGTCAGACCACGTTGATCGTTTTAAGTTGATTTGAAATGTTTTTAGATCTTGTATAGCCACACTCAAATTTGATTGAATCCACAGAAATCCCGTTTAATACCTCCTATTTTCAGTTTATTACTCTTATTGACCAATTTTTTTTTACCAAAGATGTGATTTTCAATTTTCTATGTTGAAGACAAGGTAACATAGTTATTGTAGAAGATTATTTTAACTAATTATTTTTTTCATATAAGGTTTTCTTTTTTATTAATAAAATATACTTGTATTTCAAATATAATTTTTAGAAATTGCTCTGAATAGGAGTAAAAACATTTTAAAAATTCAAAGTAGGACCTTCATGTTTTTAATTCCTAAATATAAGTAATATCTGCCAAATTTCAGAAAAACTTGACAGAAACTGCCATGTTTAAAGCCCGATAATGCCAAACTTGACAAAAATTACTCCTATTTAGGGAATAAAAACATGACAGTCCTATTTTGGAACTTCAAACTTTTTTACTTTTGTTTAGGGAATTTTTCCTATAGTTTTCCATAACTTAGCAAATTTAACCAATTCAACCGCTTCAACTAGAATTTCATCAATTTTAGCAGATTCATTTGATTTCAATGGATTCAAACGGGCATTGAATATGCTCAAATTAGTGAAATTTTGCTTGAACCAGTTGAATTTACTTAACTATGAATCGATTATGTTGTAAGAAAATATGTTTTTTTTGAAAGAGTAAGAAAATATGTTATAAGTAGTAAAAAAGTATTTAAATTATATTTTAAAGACATTTTCGATATAAGAAAAGTTGGTAAAGTTGATGGAACTAAGGGAGGAGTATTTACTAGCATACCGTAAATATGAATACATTATGGCCAAGGATCTAAAATAAGGTGACAACTCCGGTACCCTTCTAAAAAATGGGGTACCGTACATATTATTTATTTGATTGGACCACACCACTTTAATTTAGATTTAAATTATTTAACTCCTAGATTCTCATTGGTCCATATGGACAAAGGTATGGTACTTATGAGTACCATAGAATATATGGGTAAATACCTATATACTCCCTCCGTCCCCTTTTAAATGTCCCGTTTTACCATATTGGGATGTCCCTATTTAATTGCCCCATACCTTATTTGGTAAACTTTGTGTGGCTCAAAATCATTCTTACTTTATACTTACTTTATCAATTAATATCAACCACACACTCACTTTTCTTAAAACTCGTGCCACCATCTCCCGTCTCATTTAAAAGGGGACGGAGGGAGTACTACGTATGAGTAAAAGATGTTAAATTTTTCATAATATGACTAGACTTCTTTTTAGACATGTGTATGACTAAAAACTCAAAAAACAAATCCACCCCATGTAATAAACATGATGGATGGACAAAATTGACCTCATGAATCAAACATCCATATTGCACGTGGAAGGAAAGTAATGATAGAAGCTTGCAACTAGCCGTAGAAGAAGGCATTCTCTAGAACTCCAATTACGGAAGGAATTAAAAAGTGCTAATTGTAACTCATGATTCTGATCGAGACTTCCCCAAGCAATTATTCCAATTAATTTAAAATTAACGAGAGGGTGCCGTTAGAAAATTCGAACAGAGCGTACGACTGCCGGAAAAAATGGTGAGGGAAAAGGGAAATCACAGGCAAATACCAGTTGATCGGAGTAGGGAATAGTCAAAATCAATGTGTTTTTGGTTTTAGAGTAGAATACACATGAAATTTCCTTGGAGTTGGGTTGAGTACGAAGCTGATATCTTCAAACAGTATACGTAGTATATGCCATAATTGTGCAGTGAAAATATTATGAAGGTGCAGTGAAAGTTTATGTTTTATTAATGTCTTGAACAAGTGCAGTAAATTATGTTTTAATTTGTTAATGCCTTAAACAAGTGCAGTAAATTTATGTTTTGTTAATGCCGTAAACAAGTGCAGTAAATTCGATATCTGTAATTACTTTGGCGTAACTAAGGAAGTCGAATTAGATACAAAATATGTATTCATATTGTGCATGCAGTATTGTTTTGTATATTATTTTTTTAAGAATACAATAGTAGCTCATTTGATGGCTTGCAAAAATAGTGCATTTATTTCCAGTAAAAGATCACTGCATAATATCAATGCTGGTGATTATGACATCGGCCAAAGTAAGGATCGGAAGTCTGGAGCCGACATCATGAGGAAATCTTATTGCTTCATTTGTACCTAGCTTCTCTGGTGGACTAATCTTTTAAACCTACATCATCCAAATTCTCTTTTTCAAATGACTTAGAACAATTGTTGCTGATAAATTGGGGTGTCCTACCCGACCGAAATCCAAATTCCGGGAAACCATCGCAAACCGCCAAACCCATACACAAACACACACACATATATGTATATGTATATGTATATGTATATGTATATGTATATACAAGAATGATCCTGTCCGAACGTTCGGACAGGATCCTCCGTCCGAACATCCCCGTTTGGGGCCCTTCCCGGTGTAATTTTTTGATGAAAATTTTTGAGCATGTTCCTCATCAAGTCTAGTTTGTCCATACCAAATTTCAGCTCAAAATTCGATCGGGAAGGCATTGAAATCAGTTTTTGAAGTTGACTGCGTTTTTATATGTATATTTTGACGCAGTCAACTTCAAAAAATCATTTGAATGCCTTCCCAATCGCATTTTGAGCTAAAATTTGGTATGGACAAACTAGACTTGATGAGGAACATGCTAAAAAAATTCATCAAAAAATTCCACCGGGAAGGACCCCAAATGGGAATGTTCGGACGGTGTTCGGACGGAGAATGTTCGGACCTGAACATTCCTCATATATATATATATATATATATATATATATATTGAATTGTAAGTATTCTGAAGTGAAATAACTTGGAACATATATTTTCTTTATGAAAAAAATAAATTACTTGTTTCGGGACAATTTAAAAAAGAAAGTAGGACATATAAAATGAAAGAGATAGAAGAAATACTAATTTTATTATAATACAGGTTGTCTTAGGAGCAGGAACAGACACATCAATTGCAACAATAGAATGGACACTCTCACTACTCTTGAACCACCAACAAGTCCTAAAGAAGGCGCAAAAGGAAATTGATGACCATGTGGGACACGCGAGGCTAATTGAAGAATCAGATATGGCAAAACTCCCCTATTTGAATTGCATAATGAAGGAATCAATGAGAATGTACCCTCCTGCCCCTTTGGCAATCCCACACGAGTCCTCCGAAGAGTGCACCATAGCAGGCTATTGCATCCCGAAAGGGACAATGCTTTTGCTCAACTTGTATTCCATCCAAAGAGACCCCAAATATTGGGATGAGCCGGAAAGGTTCAAACCAGAAAGATATGAAGGCTTAGAAGGAGTTACTGGTGCTAAAGACCATGGGTATAAATGGATGCCATTCGGGTCTGGTAGGAGACGTTGTCCGGGAGAAACGCTAGCATGGCGTGTGATTGGGTTGTCATTGGCGTCAGTTATCCAATGCTTTGATTGGGAAAGATTTGAAGGCGAATTGGTAGATATGAGTGAAGGAATTGGTTTGACTCTGCCCAAAGCATTGCCTTTGATCGCTAAGTGCAAGGCGCGGCCTTTTGTCACCAACCTTCTTTCCACTTATTCAACAACATGATTTTCTGTGTTTTTGTTGTTGTAGTGTAAACATTAGTTTCATTTATTATTACTCATTTACTCAAATAACGCTATCAACTCGAATTAGGATCCGGTAGAGTTGCCCCATTATGGTGTTACTACTGACAATATTCTGAATCAATTAATTAAAGTATCCCAATTATTTTATTATACTTGCACCGGCCGTGTTTTTCAATGGATTTGAAACTTTCTCATGTGGTATAACTTAGTCTAGTTTGATGACTTTGGTTTGTTAAGTCTACTAACGAGCACTTTGTCGTGTTGTACACTCAAAATAATAAATATAATACAACACTAATAGTGTAGCATAATATGTGTTTGCTATTTACTATTGTATAAATGTAGTCTAGTCTAATTTAATTTAATCTACTTTGAAACTAAATTTAGTCCAAGTGTCCAACTAAAAATCACCTAACTTTATAACAATTTTTGTACAGAATTTATTTCATAAATTTTACTTCGTATAATACTATTACGGAGTATATAAAAATCACCCAACTTCATAAATCTAACGGAGTACATTAAATGTGTTTTCTTCCCTTTGATCCAAAAATTCCTTTTTGGATAATTAATTCACATTTTGCGCCAATAACTCAATTTGCTCATAATCACTGGGGTAATTTATTATGCCCGTTAGTCCGTTACTATCATCAACTTCATCTTGTATAACAACTTTTCTGATATGATTTTCAACATTAAAATGTATTTATATACATGTACTCCCTCCGGTTTTTATTAAACTTCACACTTTCCTTTTTGGGACGGTCTATAATAAACTTCACACTTCCTTATTTCCTTTTTTGGCAAAGAAATCTACATCAAAACAGTGTCAAACAGTGCCAAACAGTGTCTCAACGGTGCCAAACAGTGTCTCAACAGTGCCAAACAGTGCCTCAACAGTGTACTCTACAGTAAAGTCAAATTTCTTTCCTTATTTTGTGTGAAGTCAAAGTGTGAAGATTAATAAAAACCGGGGGTAGTATTAAATTACATAATACTCCGTATTTTATAATTATTTACTTTAATTTTACTTCATGGTTTCAACACGAAGTTAAATCAATTATATATATTAATCTATAACTTCAATTTTATTTACGAAATCTTAAAAATTAATATAAGATCATACTCCGGCTAATCCATGAATTAAACACTTGATACATTATTCTTTTATAAAAGGTGCTAAAGCAATTTAAATGCTTGGAATTGAAGTTGGATTCTTTTAATACGAGTAGTATTTATTGTTTAGTAAATTTTCTTTTTTACATAAAAAACATGGACTTTTCTATATAGGGTTGTTTTTAAAAAATCAATTATATATATTAATCTATAACTTCAATTTTATTTACGAAATCTTAAAAATTAATATAAGATCATACTCCGGCTAATCCACGAATTAACCACTTGATACATTATTCTTTTATAAAAGGTGCTAAAGCAATTTAAATGCTTGGAATTGAAGTTGGACTCTTTTAATATGAGTAGTATTTATTGTTTAGTAAATTTTCTTTTTTACATATAAAACATGGACTTTTCTATATAGAGGTTTTTTTTAAAGAAATATTATTAAAATAAAACTTGTTTACACAATTATGACTAATAGTTACTACAATGTTCCTTCAAAAAAAGTTACTATAATGTAGTGTAATAGTAACTTAAGTTTAAACATTAAACTTAAATTACTGTGATTTTCTAATCTGGTCCCTAGTCATATTTTTTATAAATAATCTTTATTTTAGTAAAAAATTTGTAATTATTTCTTCTATAAACAATTTTTATTTCATACTGTTTAATCTATAATAGTCTTGGTTCATCACATATTTGTTGCACAACTGAAGATTAGATGCCACTATCTTTTTAATCACAAGAGTTCGACTACTACTCTCTAAGTATTTGTTTGATTTAGGGTCCAACAAATTCTTATAAAACGGGTCAATCAAGTTTGGTGTGGGAGTTCGATTGATGAGGTATGTTGCAGTGTTAATACACCACCCAGAATTGCAATGGTAAATGGGCTTGAAAACGTAATGATCGAGCCACGTTATGAAGGTTCTTGTGCTCACGCTCAACAATAGATTTTTTTGTGTGGAGTATATACTGCTTTGTTGGTGGATGATTCCCAATTCAGCAAATTGTGTGCTCATTTGGAATTCTTTTCTTTGATCTGATAGGAAAGCTTTTATTTTGGTGTTAAATTGGTTTCAAACATAGGATAAAAAGTGTATTGTCTCATTGTATGTGTCTTGTTTCAAACTTGGCTTGCATAAGAAAAAGAGAAAAGGGGCAAATAAGCCCTCGAACTAATCAAAAAAGTGCAAATAAGTCTTTTTGTAGAAGGTTCCGTCCGGTCATCGTCATTTGGGGAGGTTTACGGTGGAATTTTTTGATGAAATTTTTTGAGCATCTTATTCATTAAGTCTAGTTTAGTCCTACTGAATTTCAGCTAAAAATTCAACCGGGAAGACAGTCAAATGAATTTTTGAAGATAACTGCGCAGTTAAACAACGCAGTATATTTCCGAAAATCATTTGAGTGCCTTCTCGGTTGAATTTTTAGCTGAAATTCAGTATGGCTAAACTAGACTTAATGAAGAAGATGCTAAAAAAAATTCATCAAAAAATTCCACCGAGAACCTCCCCAAATGACGATGATCGGACGAAACCTCCTACAAAAGGACTTATTTGCACTTTTTTGATTAGTTCGAGGGCTTATTTGCCCCTTTTCCCTAAGAAAAATCCAAGTAAACCTACTATAGTCATCAACTATAGTGAAGAAAAAGTTTGCACCACACAAAGAAGGGGTTTTCATGGGACCCATATGTCTAAATGTACTAGATCAAAAGGCTTACTCGTATTGGATTTATGAGGATTTACGGAGGAAGACAGTTTGTGTTACTTTCCAAACTGACAGGCATCACAAACATCACTAGTTTTCATACAAGATATGTCACTGAATACGTCATGAAATAGTTTCATTCGATCTAGGGAAGGTTGTCCTAATTGTTTAACAGAAGTGTTTGTGGAAGATTTATTTGGAGAATTCGCTATATACATTCCCCGTTACACACCGGTGTACACAGCACAAAAGCCCCACCCCCTATTTCTAACCGTATACCCCCCCCCCCTCCTATTTTGAATTAACCCCACATGCCTCCCAAAAAAACAGCCGCCCACTCTTTCCTCTTTCCCCTCCAACTTCCCCATGCGCCCCCTTTCTTTCCCGCATCCCACAACAAAAACCGCTTCCCTCCCCTTCGGTTCCCCATACCCACACCTTCCCCTCCATTCTTCTCCTCGAACATCTATCTCCTTCCCTCCCTATAGTTGGTGATGTTCGTCGCTCCATTCCCCACGTTGTTGAAGTCCAGTCCGCCGGCATGACAAGTCCACCCTGCGTCCCGTTCGCTGTGACGAGAACCTCCCACAGTCAACCGACCGTCGGCACGCTCCCAAAGCTCCTAAATGGTTCGCACTTTATTAACTGAAATGGCACAAAGGTTGAACCGTACCAAACTGAACTAAATCGATTTGAAATCAGGCCATATGTAATTTGGTTTGAGTTTGATAATATTTCTTCCAAATCGTATTAAACCGGACCGAAGCCGATAAAAACCGAACAAAACCGAAACGAACTAAAGAAGTTCAATAAAACATTCATATATTATTATTTTTATCGTCAAACCGAAGAAATATTATTAAATCAATAAATCGTTAGTCAACTGGCTAGAAATACTAGTAGGGGCATTATCATAATCAAAAACATGATCTGAGATGTGAACATGTGACTTAGCTAAAGCGTGAGCCACATGATTCGCAGACCTTTTACAAAACGAGATATTAAAAGAACTCTTAGTTGCTAAATCATCAATAATAAGATGAGTATATGTTGAGCCTTCCTGTTTCTTCAGGCATTGTACCACCGTGAGTGCATCTGTCTCAATTTCCACTCTTGGCCAGTCCGCCTCCATAGCTCCCAGGATAGCATTCCGGATCCCCATAGCCTCCGTTTCTTCAGCCATCCATCCTGCTCGGCGTCTAACCCCCGGGCTTTGATAACGTTACCTTCAGCATCTCTGGCCACCCATCCCCAGGCACGGATGCCCCCAGCTTGATTTACCGCCCCATCCACATTGATTTACGTTGCCACTGGGCTATCTCCTCTCCCGCCGATGTGTCTCCCCTGGCCGCCGGTTTTTCTTGGACGTCCCGCCAGGCCCCAAGTATGATGTCTGTCACCCGAACGACCGTAACGGCTTCCTTTTCTTTGTCTTTCCAAACCGCCCTGTTTCTTCTTTTCCAAATGCTTCACAACATTGCAAGAAAATGGCCACAATATTCTTTCCCTGGCTGTTCAATATTCGTTTTGTTCCACTAGCCGAATGGGAACGAAATTTCCTATGTCCGAACTCCCACGTTCTTCCAGACGACCTCTACTTTGGGGCAAGTTCTTAAGGCATGATTGATACGTTTGTAATTTCCGTATGTTTATTTACGCTTTTAGTTAGTTTTGATTGTTTAATATTTCGGAAATTACACACTTTCGGTGTAATAGTTTAGTTTGTTAAATTCTTGTAATTTGTTTAGATTAGGTTTATTCTGAGCTTAAACAGGTCCAAGATCAATCAAATGATCAATGGTGAAGGAAGGTGCAAGAGTACAAGACAAAAAGAAGGAAAAATCCTGATTTTGGCCTATACTCGATCGAGTATATACATATACTCGATCGGGTATCTGGTTGACATTTCAAATCGGATCGGATTCGAAAACAAAGGAACATGCAGCAGAAGATTTTCCCACGTTCGAGTGTCTATACCCGATCGGGTATGCTTATATACTCGATCGGGTATGCATATAAAATCTACTCGAGTATTGATCGAGTATTGACCAAATTCTGATTTCTATACATACTCGATCGAGTATGTATACATACTCGATCGAGTACTCGATCCTGCACCTCAAAAAGCCTATAAATACACCTTCTTTCCTTCACTTTTAGACACCAATTCACATATACTTCTTAGCTCAGTTTAGACAAGTTCTTTCTTTATATTTTTCATCATGTTTAGTCTCCAAATGAGGAGCTAAACTCTTCCATCTTGGTTTTGCTACTTTGAAGCTTAATGATTTGTAAGTTGTGAGTTATTTTCTTTAATCTTCTTCCTTG